GGGAGGCTGCTAGTCATCACCCCCCACCGCCAACTCTTGCTCTTGGGCTACTCTTTTACCAATGAATAGTGGGATGACCGCCACATTATAACGCCCCTATGGCTGAAAGAGCGAGCATGCTTGATAGGACGGGGATTCGAACCCACGACTTCAGATTGCGAGTCAAGCGCCCTAACCACTTGAAAGTCAGGTTTTTCAAATATTCCTAACTGTAATTTTAAACAAAAATGTTTAGATTTATATGCAATTTTATTAGTATTCAACACGTTTAAATCAGTCGAATATTATGAATAATTTATAAGGCGAAACAGATATTCATTGCTTTTTATAGAGTAAATAGAACATATCATCTACACCACGAAATATCTCAGACGAATCAGTTCTCTTAATCAGTCGAACATTGACAGGCTATTTATTAATGCTATTTTATCCATTTTTATATCTCATAAAACGGAACCTTTGGAGATAAGAACGATTTTTTGAATTAAGAGGTTAAGTTCCAGTCACTATCATACACACACACAATGAGATATTTTCTTTTCTATGCCACTATCATGATGATACAAGTTAATGTGAATATGTGCATATCATTGAATCGACTAACCCGAGAACATAACCAACTCTGTAAAACTAAGAAATATTGATAATTATTAGGTACAGTATGCTACAATTAAGGTACCATAAAATATAAGTAAAACCTAAGAATTTATAGATAAGTAGCTGGAGTACCTGTACCCTGGACGTATAAGTTATGTATATTCATGATTATTCCCGTATATGTAATTGTAAGAAAGGCAAAAACGCCCATAAAAACAGCAAAACACAAAATGTGAAAACGTAAGTTTGAATATATCTTTACATGAGCCTAACAAACCATTATGCCATATTTTGTGAAGATCCCTCACCAGGGGACGAAGTAGTGATAAAAACGCGAAAATGCAAAACTGAAAATATTTATGTACCCCGCATGGACCTAATAAACGTCCACACCAATTTTGATGAAGATCCATCCACACCCTGCGAAGTTGTTATATGGACAGACAACAGACAGTACTATTATATTTATACAGAGTTTCATGTGGTAGAGTTTCATAAAACTAAATTATCCAGACAGTTATTGATTGTTCGTAAAGCTTAACATAACATTGGATATTGTTTTGATAATTTCGAAAAATAAACAAGCAATATCTCCTGAAAGACAAAGACTTATCAGTCACAAGTAAGTTATAGAACCCATATCATTGGGAACAAGTAATAAACAGTTATAAGTTATTAGTAAGTAAAAAATTATATTTTGTTGTCTTTATTTTTCAGGTATGGTTTCTAAAATTATGTCACATTTATAAATAAATGTTTTATATAGGTTAAGTAAAACATTAAATAACACATAGTTGATTAAATAAACAAATATACAAATACGAGACATAGCCAGTCCGGATAAAGCTATATGAGTTAACTCTTACATGCCTCCCGATGGCTCAGCAGTAAGCCTTATTCTCAGTATATATAAAACTCTAAGATTAGGGTGTGAACTCTGAGCAGGGAACACACCTGTGTAATTTTTTGCTCAAAAAAACAATTAAGCGATCTCTAACGTGAAATTTTTCTTGATAAGAGAATACAAACAATAATCGTTCCATGTCTAGCAATAGTTATTTAAAGGAATGTAAGCAGGCGCTCAGAATGTAAATAGTCTAACCTTTGTCTTAATTTTTTAATTATGCTTCCTTTCATTAACGTATAAAATATGTTATCTTGGTGTAAAAAATCAAGATTTTATCTGAACGCTTTTATAACTATGACAGATGTGAGTAAGATAATTTAATGGCAAGTCTATTTACTTTAAACTTTGATATTTCTATCGGCTTTTAATCACGTTCATTTTTAAGTTTTAAAATCAGCTAAATATAATAATAGTTTAAGAAGTTACTTTTGAATTGGTTTATTGTTTAATTCACAAAAAACATAATTCTTTCTTATTGTAAGTATGTTTGTTTGAAGTTAAGACAAAGCTACACAATGGTCTATCTGTGCTCTGCCCACCACAGGTATTGAAACCCCAGTTTCTAACGTTGTAGGGCCACAGACATACCGCTATGCCACTGGGACGTTATTGTAAATAATAACCCGACTGCGTGACTAGCCATCTATTCAATAAAATAATAATTTTTAACATAATTAAATCTGGCTTTGGAATCAATTGTAACTACATTTTATATTCGCGTAGTTTATAGAAAAAGTTAAGGAAACATTGATATATATGTGTATTTGTTTGAAACGTCTAGTAAGGATAATTGCATAGCATTTTTCTGGTGTGAATATGTAGTTTAAATACAGCATGAACAACTTTTATATAAAAGCTTTAAATAAAACAAGTAACTGAGATCGAACATTAAACAATAAACTTTAAATTTCCATACTTTTATCTAGGGATATTTCTGCAGTGCATATTCAACTGTTTTACCCTCAGGTTCTCAGTTTTTAAGGAAATGGACAAATAAAACGATATTGTTTCTAAAGATATGGGAAGTCCTTTTATATGACTATTTCATGAATAGCTAATTCAATAAATGTTTGTTTGTTTTTTGAATTTCGCGCAAAGCTACACGAGGGCTATCTGCGCTAGCCGTCCTTAATTTAGCAGTGTAAGACTAGAGGGAAGGTAACTAGTCATCACCACCCACCGCCAACTCTTGGGCTACTCTTTTACCAACGAATAGTGGAATTGACCGTCACATTATAACGCCCCCACGGCTGAAAGGGCGAGCATGTTTGGTGGGACGGGGATTTGAACCCGCGACCCTCACATTGTGAGTCGAGCGCCTTATCCACCTGGCCATGCCGGGCCTTTCAATAAATGAGGTGTATTTGTATTTTATATAAAAATATGTTTATAGTCAAGAGTTACGACTTGAGAAAACAACGCAGATTTAATCAGCAAATATACACGTAATTAATCTAAACTAATAATTAAATTTTTATAAGAAAAGTAAACTTACATTAAGTATAAAAGTAATAAAGTCAACAGCAAACAAGATGATCACTCCAGGATCAGAAGACTAAAACGAGAAACAAAAAAGAACATCTTATCATCAGATTACTGTTTGCAATGTTTCTAGCTTTTACTTTTAATCATATTTTGTTTTGGTATTTTCTTCTTTTAAGTTGGGCTAATTTTACGGAATCTGATGCAATCTACAATTTTATAACAGTTATTTAAAGACTCGTGTTACATTAATAGCTATCTATTTCAAATGATTAATATTTATTTTTCTATCAGTATTTTTCTTTTTCTTAAGTAACTTTTAAGATTTCTGCCAAGCACCAAAAATGAGACGCACGATACTTGGCGGATTAATAATTTACGAAAAACGAGCAGATAAGAACACTAACTCACCACGTCGTCAAGAAGATAGAGAGACACAAATAAGTCCACGAGCGTTGCTACGGGAACAGAGACAATCCAAGGCAGCAAGAAAATTCTATTATCCTGCAAAAGAATAACGCTATCACGCGAGTACTTGGCAATTCCCTTTGAAAACTGACATAACATCGTACTTAAGAAAATTCAGAGAAAAAACTAAAAAGTCCAAAATGCTTAAAATAAAACCTTAACCTAATAAACGAGAATACACAAAACATTAGAAAAGATTTGTCACATCTAAAGTACACCCTATTATAAGCATGAGCGATTGATTTCATTTACGTAAGGTGTTTAGCATCGGCCAAATAATGGAGTCCCTTCGCAGCAATGTTGTGGGTGCGCAGTCCAGGTAGCATGACGCTGTACCCAATTTAGAACTACATACCAGAGGGAGGCAGCCTGCTGGGAGCAACACCTCTTACTTCATCATTTTTCAGTATTTTGTATATTTTGTAATTATTGTTTTTAGAACCAAGTACCCAGTGTAAATAAACTGGTTTTCATACTATTACTTCTAATACTATTGTACGCTTAAGTTGTTTGGCATAGGCCTTGACACAGGCTCTCTTCCCTCCAGTAATCTTTTCAAAATTCTTCTAGTAATAATGAGCAATTTAATTTACTTAAGAAGCATCTGCTATTTTCACTTTTTAAAACACAAAGTAAATCTACCAAATCAAAATGTCTTTCTTAATCACATAAAATGCTATATATATATATTCAATATCATATGTTGGTTGGTTGTTGTTGTTTTTTTAGAGCAAAGCCACATTGGGTTATTTCCTGTGTCCACTGTGTGGAATTGAACTCAGGATTTTAGCATTGTAAGTTCACAGACTTACTGCTATTTTACAGGAGGACAAATAATTCTTGTTATAGATTAAATATAATAATAATATTATAATAAACAATAAGACCTATGTTATTATTAGATATTTAAAACTATACTAATTTTCAGTAGAACTATTTGTTAACGTATCGATCGTTCCGAAAAAAATACATATAGAAAATACAAAGCAAAAACGAAACAATTATCTCAGGGAAAAAAGGTAAAATGAGATTTGCTACATTTAAAAGGAGCAATTGTTTTTCCCAGATGGGTTTCACATGTATACATATAAATACTTAAATCTCAAATGTTTTGCTTTTTACTACGATTGTGTTGTGATTTGGAATCACATTCAATTATTACACGAATTTGTAACAACAGAATTACGATAATTACTGGTAAAATATATTAATTGTAGTCGACAAAATAAATTAGGGATCAATAAATTATTTGCATATCTTGAAAAGAACTAAATTAAAGTTCGAAAACTGTTCATTAAAGTGAAATTTGTTGACTTCTGGAAAAGTCATAAAATACCAAACTGTGAACTTGGAACTGCTACGCAATGAACCCTGACATGTTGCCACTATTATTTTGAGAGTGTCCTAAGCAAACTGATTACTCAGGAATGTATTAAGAGGAAATAAAAGTTTTCATAATGTTTACGTTAAAACTGTAGCAAATATGTCCATTTCAAATAGCTGACACACACATCTGCAACGTTGCTGCATATCCTTATCAGTCTCTTGATGGAGTTCTGGGGAATTTTTCCTCATTTCCTTAACATTGTTTTTTTTTTGATGATCAAATATGTATAGTTGGTGAGATAGACATGAAACCTGTCCCTGTAGTTGGTCTTAGATGTGTTCCGAAGTAAACTTTGCCCAGTGAACTTTCAACATACTATCTGTTCAAGATAAGAAGATACATGTCTTATGTGCATGGTGAGGGGACAGCCTCATTAACCATCAAAATAATATCAGGACCAACGGCATCATCGAAAGATTTGACAGTGATTACCAGCATCTCTTTACTATAGCAGACAATATTCAAGACACCATTCGTAATGATGTACAGAAAAATACGTCAATTATAAGAGATTTATCATCGTTATGTCATGAGAATCTGTTATGTTTAAGTTCCACGCAGCTGATATAATGCTGTAAGGTTTTCTCTACGTGCTTCACGATGGACATAATGGACGTCAAGATAGAACCTGGCATTGCCTGTAAAACGAACTGGTGTTTACTTAAGTTTGACATAGTCGTTTGCTAAGAAATAAGATCTCAGCGTTTTTCCAAATTAGAACTGAATGTTAAATTTCACAGCAAAAATAAAGCAGTTTCATTGTACTGTTGGGTTAAGTAGCATGTGACCATACCAGAGTTACTTTGACAAGTTTTTACACCTAATGTAGAGATCGTCTGCTTGACAGGAGGTAGAAGAGAATTCCTTTCTGATACTACCAAGTGCCCCTCTGGCTGTCTGTTATGTTTTTTGAATCCATACATTTTGCTTTTCCTAGCTACAACATACGGTACATTATTTTCAGCAACGGTCTCACTGATTCTGAATATCAATGAAGACCTTCCATGGTTGCCACATTCATCTTATTAGTTGGCTTTAGTTACTAAGATATAGATCCTAGTGTTGCGTTGTGGAACTTTAAGTTTTCTCTGACATTTTTCTTGGTTGACTGGAATGTTCTTCAGAACATGAAAATTGATCTCTGTAATATCTAAAAATTGAAGGATTCATTTTCTGACAAGGAGTTGTGAAAGACCTGATGCAGAAATTTTCATCAAGGTTCGACGTCATTAACGATAAGAATGACATACTTACTAAGAATAATGTCATTAAAGACAGATGAGTTAAATATTGTTTGAAGTTGTACAGATACAAACTTCATAAGCCAAGTAGAGGTGGACATGTTATAGCTAAAATAGAGAATGAACCATCACCAACGAAGAGTGGATTGAAGAAACAGATTAGCCAGATAGGATGACACCTGGAATTTATGATATTCCTGGAGAGCTGTGGAAAATGGCTGGAGTAGAGTGCACAGACATCACGTGGCAAATGAGTGTAGAAGTCTGATAGAAAACATATTTGCCCAGAAACTGGTGTTGAATGATGCTCATCCTGTTGTCTAAATAGAATATCTTGAAAGAACGTACAAACAACTGTTCAATTAGTCTGATAAATCACATCAGCAAGATGCTATTGAAATTCATTAATGGTATATTGGACAAAAAAGATGAAAAGGAATGTCACTGAGGAGCAGAAAGGCTTTTTAAAAGGCAGATGGACCATATTTTGAACATCCAGAACATTAATGTCAAGTTTCGAGGACGCATAATATCATTGTTTCCCTGTTTAACTGACTGTGCAAATACTTTTGATAACATCTCTCCTAACAATTCACGGGAGACGATCAATGATGTGGGATTTCGAGCTCACGTGGTCAATCTGATTAGCTGGTTCTAACAAGATCAGCAGTCAGCTATGTGGATGAGCAGAAAAGACACTGAGTTGTTCAGATTTCACACTGGAATATGTAATGTCTCCGCATCTCTTCATCGTCGATGCTGGGGATATCAGATGAGAATTACTGGAGGGTTTTAAACGAAGTGTTAAGACCAGAAGGAAGTGCGTAACCAATTTTAAATATGCAGATGATACAACATCTACGTGTAGCAGCAGAAAGGAGATGGTTGATTTGGCAAAATACGCCAAGGAAGTGACCGAATGACATGGAATCTTATTGAATACTAAGAAAACCAAAAAATGGTAATTGAAAAAAGCAGGGGATGGTACATTGAGAGCATTTTACGGTCAATGGGAACGATCTGGAAGAGTCTAAACAGTGAGCATCTTAGCTCAGCGACCAATACTAAAGATGGTAGTATTGAAGAAATCGAGCACAGTCTGGGTATCGCTAGAAAGTAGTGCAATATATGACTCTCAAGATCTGGAAAAGTAGTATAACAACTGCACTAAGGCTTTGATAATCGTAAATGACTTTTTACAATGGTAATGTGTGGCTCAGAATTATGGGCCATAAAAAGCAATCAAAAGAAGGTGGATGCCTTTGAGGTATGGTTTTACTGCAGAGCCTTGAAGGTGTCATGGAACAAATGGAAAACAAGCGCTTTATAAGGTTGAGACAGATCTTAAGTTGATGATCTCTATCGCTGCAAGAAAGTTACGTCACAAAATGTAACTTTGTGGTAAATGTAATTTTTTCAAAGGATGGTATGTGGACGGCGAGGAAGAAGAAAGCTAGCCACAGTATGGACAAGCGATATTAAGACCTGGACAGGTAGGGGCGTCATGGTTGTCATCAAATAAATATTTGTTACCTTTTCTAGCTTCCAAACTAGGCATGTTTACCAAATATTCAAGATATATAATTCATTTGCGAAGCTACGTTTAATTTCACAAGGAGTTTGAATCAACTAACTAAAATATAGATCTAATACTATGAACACATTACTTTAAAAAACTATTGTGCATCAATAAAGAATAATTACATTAAAATATTATAGAATAATCTTCAATTAAAATAATCGAATCAAGAAACTTCACTTTACCTTCTCCCTTCAAATCATTATAAATCATGCATACGTAGTCCCAAAGAGCATTTTACAATATTTTATAACCCCAATAAGTATCTTTGAATCCTTTTCTTCATTCAAAATATAGCTGAAAAATTATGAAACTTATTACTCCTCACCTCAGTAATTCAGTAAGTGTAAGAAGGTGAATAAAAAGTGGTGTTATTATACCTACGTTCAATGAAGGCGATTGAGGTTTGCATATTCGGTTACAATTTTAATAATTCATACTGTGCTTGTATCAAAGCGTTCTCTCGATGCATGATAGTTCGTCTCTTGTTTTTCTCAGAAGTAATAAATATTGCTACATACCATTGTATTAAAGGAAATCGGGTCATAGAAAAACTAGCATTGCCACTGAAGCTCAAATTCAAAATTCATAGATGTCTATTATGTTAAAAATGCCGATATTGATACCAGTCGTATACAATATCGCTAGATATTCGGGTTCTTTTATAAAAAAAATGGAGTTCTAACACGTGATTTAATGTAGATACAAAAAAAAATAAACTTAAATAAATTGAATCATAGGGAAGAGCTATATTCATACATAGGTAACATGAAAACCAGAGGATGTAATTTAATTTTAAACAATCATACAACTCTCACGCTTAAAGCAA